CTCCTCGGGCGCCCCTCCGGTACCCGGCTCGCCTCCACGTGCGGCCCCCCAACCGCTCGGCCGTCTCCATCCCCACTACCCACCCCGGGCGCCCCCCATCCGGCAGCCTCCATTCCCCCACCCGCCGCCTCGAGCTCCCCTCGCTAACCCAGTCCCTGGGCGAGAGCCATTGGCAACTCCTGCCATACCCTCCGCCCCAGCGCACCAGCCCCGGGTCCAGTCCGGGCCCCGCAGCCGCCTCGCTCGCGGGGCAGGTACCAGCATCACTCGGTAACTTTCCCTGCACGCCGCTCGCAGAGTGCGGGAGCCTCCCCCACTTCCCAGCTCCGGGCCGGGCCGAGGCAGGTGGGAGGAGAAAGCCCCCCCGGCCCGGCTCACGAGCGGACACTCACCCAGCATCTTGCTGAGCTCCGCGTTGTGCAGGTCCGGGTTCTGCTGCGCCAGCCGCTTGCGCTCGTCCTTGGCCCACACCATGAAGGCGTTCATGGGCCGGCGGATGCGGGACTCGCTTTTGGCCCGGCTGCTCGCAGCCCCCGCCGGGGCCGCCTCACTCTTCACCTTGGCGTCTGCCAGGGGGCTCAGGGACTCTGCCCACTGGCAGGGGCCCAGGGCCGGCATCATGATGGGGAGCGAGCACCTTGCCTGCGTCTGGTCGTCGCTGCTGGCGTAGCCCGCATCGGGGCTGCTCATCTCGGGGCAGCCGGAGCCACCGGGAGGAGCCGGGCTGAACCGGACCCGCCTCCGACCCCTCCCCGGGCAACAGCTGGGAGGAAAAGGACCGTCTGCTCCGAGCAGCCCCCTCTCCCCCTCGCTCGGCTGGGGCAGCAGGGACAGCTCCCCTGGCAGGCTGGGCGCGCGGGGCTGGGCGCGGGACGCCGCTGATTGAAGCAGGGTCTCGGGGGGGGGTGGAGGGGGGGACAACAGGCTCACTGCTGGCAGCTGTCAGAGCGCGGCCGTATTTACCCAGAGCCGCGGCCAATGGCGGGGCGGGGGCGGGGTCTGGGCTGGGAAGGTGACGGGGGGCTCGATGCTCCGAGCGGGGAATGGAAGAGTCCCAGCCCCGCCCCTTCCCGCTACTCTTTACCTGTGCAGGTTACAGGACAGACAGCGCCGGGTGGGGACGGGTTTTTCCGGGATTCAGATCAGAATGCGAGGAGCAAGAGCGCCTATGGGTATATGCTCTATATTGTGAGAAATCCCTTTTTAAAACTATGTAAACTCATTTGTAATACAGTTGAATGTATCCTAATAATCGTTATTATGTTGCTGATGGCTTGAACTGGGACCAAACAAGAGCAGCACCTATTGGATAGGCATTGTACAAACACTGAAGCCTAAACTCTCCCCAAGAGCTTGTAATATAAATAGTCAAGACAGAGAAATATTAGAAAAAGGGATATACCATAAAAGCAGAGCCATCAATATGATGGCACAAACTTCATGTTAGCTCCACCATTTTTAAATTTTAGATCGGGTTTGGCTGGGAGGGGATTAGCTAAATCATTAGCAAAACTTGATACCTCTTTTCTCTAAATTTCATAACTAGCATAGAAATGTCCAGTTTAGTAGTCTGGGGAAGGAATATCTTTCACACGTAAGTTAAAGGTGCATCTCAGTACTTTGCATCCAATGAATAGCTCATTAAATTAAAGCTTGTACCCTCACATCAATTTTTCCTTCTTGTAATCCGTACAAACAATAGATTTTCAGTGATGTGTTTCCAATACATACAGCCTGGACGTGGTAATATAACGCTCAGTACTTGTGTTCACCTTTACAACAATCTTTTCACCTCATAGATGCTTTGAGTATTTAGAAGTATGGTGAACATACCATGCTCGTAACATGAATATATGAGGTAAACAACTGTGAAGTAAATATACATAGCAAACATAAACATGAAATCAGATCACATAGAGATACATGAATTATATTTTATATATACATATATATTAGATTGTGTGTTCATCTGGCATATAAAGTCATAAAATTACAACTTTTTCATAAAGTCTCAGATTAATGTTTGCATTGTTATAGGGCGCTATTAAATGCATGAATGCTTATCTTAGAACAGCGCCGAGCTTTAAACATAAGATCAAAGAGGCTTATTTAGTTAAGGACACCTTTGTTTGGACAACAGCTACAGGCAAATAACCTCACACTACATGAATCCTCTCCTGAATTCATGAATGAACTCAGCCTCGCCTTTAATGAAATCCAGCGTTTTATTTCATGTTTCCTGTAAAATAAGAATCTATTCCTTTACAATTGAAATATCTAGTAGAGATTCAAGAAAGCAATACCTTGAGATGCACTACTGTGACCGAAGTAACTAACTGTTGTGATTGCCTTTTGGGCCCATTCTTGGTTTTATGTCCCCTTTTCTAAAGCCATAGAAATGCTTAGATTTCTCATGTATCTGTTATAAATTATTGTGTTTAAAGTCTAGTATTAGGAGTCGAACGTTGTGTATTTCGTACAGAAAAAGGCATTTATCCCTGTCGCAAAGATTCCAACCCGTTACCAAAGGACTAGAAAGAAAAGGCACATTTTGGGCTTTTCCCCATCTTAATGTTTGTTCGAGAGAAAGTTTGGGAACGGAACAGACAAAATTGAAAAGTATCAAGGGCAAGAATTTAAATATATCTTTGTCTCTTTGGCTTGTGTGGCAAATGCTACAAAAATTATTACGAAAATAAGCTGCTTTCTATAAATAGCCGCAAACTGTACCAGTACCAAAATAATCTTTCCACATTGTACATTTAAAATTTGCTTTAAAATAAATTCAGTAATCTAGATATTTTAATTTTGCCCGCAAAAAATGCATTATTATAGTTAATTGATTACAACAATCAGAAACGCCTATTAGAATTAGTTTTTCAAGGGTTCAAATACAAACTGTATTGCGCTAACTCCTGTACTCTCTCCTTAAGCCTTTCTCCCTTCGTGTTCTTTTTTTTTAAATATGGTCATCATCCATTTTTTTAATATATTTATGGCTGCGGCTTTAATATTGTGCCCAGTCTGGATGTGCTGGTGACACTGGACCCCTCAGAGTCCTAGGCTAGGGGTTTAGTATCTTCTCAGCAATGAGTCACATATTAGTGGATTACTGGGGAAAAATGAGAGAAAGATATCTTTTATCTGGATTAAATTAACGCGACGGGAAAATATACATCCCTTTTATTGCACATTGGTGCATATTCAAAGTAGGAGTAGAAAGCAAGATAACTTAAAATTAAAAGAGAAAGCCAACTATTAGCTCCCAACTGATCTGCTGCTGATTGTATTTCGAGGGCTGATTTAAAACCTATTGGCGTGAATAAACGTTCATTGCTTCGGATCAATCCCCCGCTGCATTGGGGCCCTGTCCTTATGATTTAGCTCAGACAAAATTCCTACCTTCTGCAGGATCTGACCTCTGGAAGAGAGTATATTCAAGCAATCCTTTTCAAATTCAAGGACAGCACAAGTACTTTTGGGAACATTCAACTTCAAGAGGAAGAAATTCTGCGGAGCAAACATTTTAATATGCAAATTTAGTGAATGACTATATATATAAAGTTCACGCCAGAATTTCTGCAATTCCTATGCTGCAATTTCTAGCATAGGCGAAAACGTCTTTTCATATAATGAACATGAGGTCATGAAATAAGCAAACCGCCGCTGACTTTGCTTGGGAGATTTGTGCAAACAGTTTCTACAGCTCGTTGATCTGGGATCAAAGGGAATATAAAGTGTGTTTTGAATCCAAGCCGATAAAGTAAAAGCTTGCTGATTTGTATGGAAAATTTGGCAGTGTGTGACCCTTCCAGTGCGTTTGGTGTCATGGATAGATTATCCATCCCCACCCCCCGTTCTGTTTGACTGTGTGCATGGTTCATTACTGAATTCCAATCCCAGCCTATTTATACCAAACCATCCTGACTGCTGAGATTGAATTGGATTAGAAAGCATCAAGTTGTGCCCACTGCTAAACTTCGTTTTCCTTAGGAGTTACTAAAGCAGCCTCTACTTGTGACTATGTGTATCCAAAACCCTTCACCCTCACACGAACTGGGGGCGGGGAGGGGGGGGGGGTCATTCGTTAACTTTCCCAACCTAACAATGCCACTGAGAGTTCAGCTTTCTGATTTATTGACCTTTTAAACTTGCGAATATAAAAGTGTGTGTGAGGTAACGAACGGGGGGAATTCTTCAGCAAAGATGTGTTTCTATTTCAGTTCCATTACAAAATGTGGTGTTGGAAGTGGTGCTCCCAGCGTTATCAGAGTCGACCACAAATGCCACATGAAAAGCAGCAAACATCCGGAGGGTTTCCTGCAAATCGCGCTGTTTCTCAAGACAAGAACTTTGTGTGCGTGCGTGTGTGTGTGTGTGTGTGTGTGTTTAAAAGGAACAATCGTGCACCTCGGTACAGCAATTACAGTCGATGCTCACAGCAATCAAAGCAACACTGCCTGAAAATACTGCAACGTAGAGAAATGCCATTTTGGGGTTCTCAAGTTAGAAAAATAAGAGGGGAAGACTTAAGAATGTTAAAATCAAAACTACAACCATTTGTTCTTTGCTAAACAATGAATAAAGCGGAATGAATGATTAATTTTAAAGTATATTCCCCAGCAGTTTTGTGTGTTTTACAGTTGGTTGGTGTGTATCAATTTAAACTACCAAAGGCGTAATCGCTCTCTCTCTCCTCCTCTCTCTCTCTCTCTCTCTCTCTCTCTCTC